GGTTTTTGCTATAGGGCACATGCACTAGCCAGAAAGACAGAGAGAGACAGAGGGATAGAAAGCGAGAAATCACCCCCCAGGGGGAATGGCCACACCGCAATCCCTACTCCTTCATTCTCCTCTCGGGATCTTAGGCACGCACACACACACGCTCAGTGTGAGTTTAAGCCACCAGGTCCAGGACTCGAACCACACAGTCGACTACGTGGGAGTCTAGTGACATAGCCATTATACCAACTGCTGGTCCCAAAAAACCTTTCTCTTGACCTGAAGTGTCCAAACTTCTGGTCTCTAGACAATTGTGACTTCTGTCAGATGGATGAGAAGTGTGTGCTGATCATCTTTGGGGGAGTGGAGGGAACTACCATTTGCTTATTGGGGCTCTGGACCAAGCTTGGGGTAGGACACTTTTGTGTCATTTCATCTAATCCTTAATATTATGCCTATTTCAGAGATGGGGACCTGAGGTCCAGAGGGCAAAGCTTTTTCCAGGGTCTGATTCCCCAGGCCTTCCCAGTCCACAGTGGGCACTTCTGGGTGCTGGACATGCGGCCCATTGGCCAGGAGACCAAGGGTCGGGAAAGGGACCAGATAGTGCTGGGAGGGGGCCGCTGTTTTCCTCCAAGCCGCAAGGAGAGGCAGACTTTGAACACTCAGCACAGGGCTCAGGGCCCAAGAAACCAGCCAGCAACCAGTAGACTCTGAACTAGAAGGGAGTTAAGGGTCTCCTCATCCCATTGTGGAAATCGTGACGGAGTCTCCTCTACAACACCTCTTTTTTATTTATTTATTTATTTATTTTTGAGAAGTTTCTGAATTAGGGCATGTGCACCCTCTGGAGAGAGAGAGAGAGAGCAAGACAGAGACAGTGAGAGGGAAAGTGAGAATCATCCCCCCTGGGTGATGGCCACGCAGCAATCCCTTCTCCTCCATTCTCCTCCTGGGTTCTTGGGCATGCATGCACACACGGCCGGCATGATTTTCAAGCCACCAGGTCCAGCACTTGAACCATGGTTGACCATGTGGGAATCCAGCGACTTAATCATTATGCCATCTGCTGGTCCCTTCAACACCTCTTTGAGGTGGTCATTCCCTTGGTTACTGTCTGGTGGGGAGCTCACTTCCTCCAAAGTAGCCCCATCTAACTATGGACAGCTCAGATGGTTGGAGAGTTTACCCTTACATTGACCTAAAATCCGCCTCCTCGTGGCTTTCACCTCTTGCTAGCCCAGATTTTAAAGAGGGAAAACTGAGGTCAGCCAGGTAGTGTGGTGGTTAAGGCAGTTGGATCCCACACGGTCACCTGCAGAGTTGAATCCTAGGCCCAGCAACTTGGAAAATATGTTGGGGGTGTGTGTGCCCAAAATCCCAAGAGGAAAATGGAGGAGAAGGAATTGGAGTGTGGCTATCCCCCTAGGGGGTGATTCTCTCTCTCCTAGTGAGTGCATGCACCCTCTAACAAAGAGAGAGGGACAGAGGAGAAAGAGAGAACTCGTGCCTGTTCTGTAGCTTAGTAGTTAAACAGTCAGATCCTATATGGCTGACCACAGTTCGAATCCTAGCCCCAGTGACTTGGAACCGTGCTAAGCGCATGGGCATGCATGCCCTAAAGTCCCAAGAGGATGGAGAAATGAGGAGAAAGGACTGCGGTATGACCGTGTCTATTGTGGCCATGCATTTTGGGGGTTGCTTTCTCACTCTTCTTTTCTCTGTGTCTTTGGCAAGCATACACACCCTCTAGCAACTGAAATAAGAGAGAGAAAACTGAGAGCAGATCACGCAAGTGGGGAAGTGGCAGGGTTCTGGTTTACACCTGCAGGGGTTGTGTCGGTCCACAGCGCGCCCTGCTCCAGCAGTCCTCCTGCAAGGTTGGTCATCTCCCCACATTCCCCCTCTGGAACCAGTCTGTCTTCAAGGACTGGGCCAGGGATGTAGCTAACCGTGGGTTCCCACTTTCTTAGCTCCTGAAGCTCAAAGGAAAACCCTTGGCCTTGAGCTGCGTGGGCAATTCTGGCCTGAGGGTATAATCTAAACACGTCCTCCCAGTACCTTAGAGTCTTAACCACACAGCTGGTTTACTCCGACCTCCCCCAAATAATGAGACCGAGTCAGTATTCCTGGTCTGTCCAGAAAAATGAGGCTTCTCGGTTGAAATGATTATCTCCAGCGGTGACCTTGGGCCATGCCTCCGGTCTGAGTTTTCCTGGTCTGTCCTGTGGGTGGGTAGATGAGCAAACTATCTGGGGGCGAGGGAAGGAGAAAAACGGCAGGGATGGATCTCTGAAGTGCCCATGCCTTCTCCCCCACCCCAGCAGGCCTGGAGCATATTCCAGAAGCGAGGCCTACCCGGGTTCTAGAATGTACTCAGGCTGGAGCCCATGGCCGGCTCTGTCACTCTCTGTTAGGCCTGAGTCACCACATCATGGAATTTTAGATTGATTTTCCCCTTTAGTATTTATAGTTGGGGACACGGAAGCCCTAAATGAGGTGACTCCCCAAGGCCACCCAAGGGAGGGCACTGGCACGAGATCTCGAGTTCTTGGTGTGAGCCTTCACCCTTCGCCCTTCGCCCTGTCTCCAGCATGACCAGAGGTACCCTGAGTCTCCAGGGGAACGACAGGTGGCTCCTGCCAGGCTTAGGGCCAACCCCAGAATTACTGTGGGCCAGAGGGGGCAGATTACAGAAGGAACGTCTCATTTACACACGAGCAGGGAACTCATTAGCTCGCATTGGAGAGAAACAGTGATCCAGGACGGCTCAGTAGGTTTCTTGAGGCAGAACCCATATTGTCCATGAAATGTTACCCATAGAAGGTCTTCCCCTTCCTCCCCGGCCGGTCGCCTGGCTTCCGCAGAGATGCCACTAGAGTCCCCACACCCAAGCCAGGTAATGTGATTATAATGGAGTGCCCAGGCTGAGCTGCCTAGGACCTACAGAAATGGCATGGCACAGAGTTGAGCCTGGGAGGCTTCCTGGAGGAGGCAGTCAGCTTGGTAGAACAAAGGGAGGAGTGGTTTTCCTGCGGGTGACAGGCTGAGTAGAGGTCCAGGCCAGCCTGGAGACATCCTTCTCCTGTTGCTCCGGTCCTTCCCAGCGGGGTCTGGGGGCGGTTGGGAAGGTGATGGCGCCCGGATCTTTAAAGCCTGCAGGGCGGTGAGGGCGTGCCTGGCTGGAGCTCCCTCCCGGGGCCAGGAGGGAGCGGGGTGAGCGCGCCCCGCGGGGGGCTCCGGCAGCCCTTACAAGGACTTCGGCAGCACCCGGAGCGGCCCCGCCCGCCGGGCTCCACCGGCCCCTCCTCCCGCAAGGGCGGGCCGGGCGCCG